ATTACACCAATAGCTCTCTTTTTGCACATCCTTAAGTCTTTTAGAATCTGGTTACAGGCCTGGACATGGTGGCTTATACCTGGAATCCTACCACTTTGGGAGACTGAGGTGGGCAGACTGCTTGAGTCTAGGAGTTCAAGACCAGTCTGGACAACATGGTAAAGCCCCATCTGTACAAAAACTACACGGATTAGCTGGGCCTGGTGGCTTGTACCTGTAGTCCCAGCTACTTGGGAGGTTGAAGTGGGAGGATCGCTTGAGCCCAAGAAGTCAACGCTGTAGTGAGCCATGATCGTGCCACTATGCTCCAGCCTGGACAATAAAGTGAGACCCTGCCTCAAAAAATCTGGTTATAAAAGTAAAATGTTCATTGATAAAATTTGGAAAATGCAGACAGTACATGAGGAAAAAAATAAAGTAATCCATAAAACAACCCTGTTACAGCCTATAGTGTTATTGTGAAATAAGACTGTCTAGGATCAAATACTGGCTACTTAATTTCTCTTCACTTTAGGTTCTAACTGTAAATTGTAATGCAATATAATGTGAGAGGGCCACACGTACCACTAACAATAAGGCTGCTTAGGCAGGGCTTGTTAAGAAACTTATAGACAGAGAAGCAAAAGCACACTTTCAATCCCCACATTTGTCATCATTGTCCCATAGAATAGCACACTTGAATCAGGTGCAAGTGGGCTCAAGGAAAGTTCACCATCTGAGGGCACATGCCCCGTTCCAATTCACGTATATTTATATAGGCACAAGCCACCAGGCCCAGCTAATCTGTGTAGTTTTTGTACAGATGGGGTTTTACCATGTTGCCCAGACTGGTCTTGAACTCCTAGGCTCAAGCAGTCTGCCCACCTCTGCCTCCCAAAGGAGGTCACACACCAAGGCTGCTATGAGTGAGTTTTCCAATGGGCTAAATCAGTCCTGCTAAACCAGCTTTTTGCTAAGTTTCCAAAAAAGGGGAGAGAATGAGTCCCTGGGCCCTCTAAGTTTATCTTGCCTCATGTATCAAGGGAGAGAAAGAGTTATTATATAAGAATGTATGACTCAGTTTAGTTGTCTAAAGAATCAATGCATCTAGTTAACACTTTTTTTTTTTGAGATGGTGTCTTGCTCAATCACCCAGTTAGAGTGCACTGGTACAATCACAGCTCACTGCAGCCTCAACTTCCTGGGCTCCATCTAGCCTCCTACCTCTCAGCCTCCTGAACATCTGGGACCACAGACATGCACCAACATGGCTAGCTAATTTTTTAAAATTATTTTTTGTCTTGCTACGTTGCCTGGGATGGTCTCAATCTCCTGGCCTCATGCAATCCTCCCACCTTGGCCTCTCAAGAGCTGGGATTACATGTGGGAGCCACCACACCTGGCCTAGTTTACATTATTAAGAATATTTTAAATCAGTAGCTCTTGGGGGGTGAAAATTGGGGGTGAAGTTACAGACAGCATCAAAATAACTTCAGGCAACATTTTTCAGTCTTAGATGCCCACTGGGAACACCCAAAGAGCTATAAAATATACTGATGCCAGTCCTGACCCAAGAGATTCTGGCTTCATTGGCCTGAGGTACAGTCTAGTCATTGGGATTTTCAGAAGTTCACCAGGTGATTCTAATATGTAGCAAAGGTTGCAAACCACTTACTTATGAAGGTCTGCCTACAATGGCTAAAATCAAAAGGACTGACAATTCAACTCCTGGTGAGGATGTAAAGCAACTAGAACTCTCATACATTGATGATTGGAGTGTCAATTGGACCAACCTCTCTGAAAAATTGTTTGGCAATGTCAGCCAAAACTAATATACACCTACCTTATTGCCCCAGCATTTTATTTCTGGGTATATGCTCAAGAGAAATAAGGGCTTCTGTTCACCAAAAGACATGGGTAAAAATGTTCACACCAGCTTTATTTGTAGTAGTTCAAAACTGAACACAACCTAAATGTTTATCAACAGTAAAATGGGTACATTGTGGTAGATGCAAACAATCCAATACTACACAGAATTAAAAGTCACAACATGGGTGAATTCCATAGACATATGGAGTGAAACGAGCTAGATACAATAATCCATGGAGATACAGGTCAAATAGCGGTTGCCCATGGTAGCGGCAGGAGCAGAACGGTGCCTGTTAGGGGAAATGTTTTCTATCTTGATCTGGGTAATGATTAGCTAAGCATATATTATAATTTTATCAAGCTGTAATTTTAAGATTGGTATGCTTTACTGTATGGTTATTATTCAATTTAAAAATACAACTCAAGCATTTGTTTACAGCCATTATATATAAAAGGCTATATAGCAATGAAGGTATAGCAATCAAGGAAATTCTTATGGAATTTTTTTAAATGAAGAATTTTTTAAGCTGGGGGAAAATATTCTTAAACCAGAAGTGCAGTCTCCCTCTATACCTTACTCCCATCCTGCCCAGCTTGGAGAAAGTCTGGCCAATGTGTTTGACAAATGCTCCCCAGGTACTTCTGATATACTTCTCCCACCCCTGGTGGAAAATCACTGGTTTAAGCAATCTGTGGTCCACCAGCCAGGCACTGCCTGACCTGTGGAACTAGCTCTTCTGAGAGCCTTTGGGGATTTTCCCTGGAGATACCATGTTCACTGCTTCTCTGTCATTTCACTTGCGTAAGTCTGAGAAATATGCTGCAGAACTTAAACATAAGGCTTCTGTTTCTATAATGTAAGCCTTTTTGTTCTATTTCCTAATTTTCTGTAACTCCTGAGATTTCATGGGAACTGTTCATTATTTTAATCTCATGCCTTATGTACTGTGACTTATAAGAACATCCCCAGTTAAGCCCAGTGTCTAGTCCTGGGGTTTTATCAGGAAATGAACACTAGCCAGCACCTTAGAACCCAGAAAGAGGCAGTTTATCTGACCTCATTCCATGGAAAACATGTGTAACTGTTCTCTCAGCAATGTGTAACATTAGCCTCTGGAGAAGAACCATAAAGCATTTTGCCTCTCTACCTTGGGAATTTGCAGGAAAGGGCTGTCTGCATGAGCTCAGAATATCTATTAATATATTGCCACTCAGAGACTTAATAAGGATTGAAAAGGGGTTTCCGCTGCACTAAGGGAAATTTGTCAAGAGAATTCCAGAGTATTGAAGAAGCTGAAAGATGATTTTAAAACAAAGGTCTGAAAACTATGCATGATAAATTATCATAGAAGTGAGTACTTTTATAGGTATTCCATTTTTACATTGTCCAAAAGAACCAACTTTTCAGCAACCTCTTTAGAATCCGTTGGCAGCCCTATTGTAGATTCATTCCAGATGAACTCAGCCAGAACTTTCTGCAGCAATAAACATGTTCTATATCTGTGCTATCCAATATGGTATTCACTAGCCACAGGTGGCTATTGAGAACTTGACATTTAGCTAGTGCTACTGAGGAACTGAATTTTAAATTTTATCTAAATAGCCACATGTGGCTACTGTAATAGACAAGGCAGGACTACACAGTAATTATAGCTTGCCTCTTAGTTGAAATAATGGTTTTATAATTCACACCAGAGAAAAGCCTAGGTTGTTTTTGATTTTAGACTTTTGACTAATTTCTATTTTTTCTTCAGTATAGAGTTCATGAGAAATTGGTTATAATATGCCTCAAAGCTCTAATAACAATTTCTGTAACTTCTAGTTTCCAAACTGACTCCTTCATGTTGAGTCTTTCATAATTTGAGTAATTGTTTTGACAAATATCAGATATTGTAAGAATTGGATGTTACAAATCTGATCACAAAGTATTTTTTCTACAACACTGTCTAAAACTAGAGATGGTTGGTTTGGGAGTCAATAGTCCTTTGGATTTTTAAATCAGTGTTTACAAAGTGGAGCAAGAGTACTCATAAAATGAACCAAAAAAGTAACAGCGAGGAGAGAAATACCATTAAAGCTTGTTAAATTAAATAAGCGGGAGGCTATTGGCCTGAGGCTGATTTTCTACACAATGAATTGCAATTTACAGCAAGAAAAAAGCAACCCCTGACAGCTCTCGGCTGCTCGGCTCTGACAGCTGGGCCTTGGTGCTCTGTGAAACATAAATAACTTCATAGAACACCATCAGACGTGGCCACTCTCTGACCGGATGGATCAAGACAAAAACAAGACTCTTTTGTAATCATGTGGGAATGCTGAAAAAAACATAAACATTGTGCAAACAACAAAAATGACCAAACATCTCCTATCCCAGTTAATGAGTCACTGGTCTTGTCTCCCCGCGTTTTAGGTAAGATTTATTATGATACTTAAATCATGCAATCGCCCTGCTTCCTGCCAGCACTCAGTCCAGAGTATTGGATTGGATACGCTGCTTCCCTGAACCTTTTCCCAAATTACATTGGTGTAAGGAATCAGCAAAGGAGGCTATCACATTCGTTCAACCATCACTGTGCTTTTGGCCCTTTGCAGACAAAGAATGAGAATGTGCACAGGTGAGAAGTCCGGGATGCATATGACCACTCAATTAACATTTACTATTTTCATATCAACTGATGCATTCTAGGATGGTATAAACACTTTTTGAATTAATCACTGCGTTAAATAGATTCACATTTATGCCTACAGCTATGTCAACATCTAGCTGAGCACTGTCTTGACTGTTCTGAGTAGCAGCAAAAGGGATAAGTTGTAAAGTACGTCAACAAACTTTGCGGCTAAAAAACGAAAGAGCAGCTTCTTTCTCTCCGGCTGGGGGAGGGGCCATACTTCCGCCTCGAGGAAGCCGCGGGAGCGCAGTCCCACGGCCTCCGCCGATCGCTCTACGTAAGCGCCATTTCTCTAGCGCGCAGGCGCCGGATCCCAGGCCCACGTGCGCTGGCCTGGAGGCTTGGATTGGCTGAGCTTTCCTGTCCTCCCAGCCCGAGTGATCGGAAGTTCTCCGTGGACGCGGGGCGGCTGAAGGCTCCGGAACTGCGCCTGCGCTTTTCAGTGAGTCACAGGTCGGGTTTGCCAGGGCCTTTGTCTAGCAAAAGGGCCAGCTTTTGTTCCCAGCGGAAGCCCGCCCCGGCTTGCGGCGGCTTTCCGGTGCGCCCTGGGCGGCGTAAGCCCAAAGGTGCTTGCACCCTCGCCCCTTCCTCTCCGACAGCCGCGGTCGCCAGGGCGGGCTGAACCCTCGGGACTGTCGCTGCTTGTGTGCTGGGTGCCGGGCGCCGGGCTGTCATCCTGAGATGGTTAGCGGCAGGCTTTGCAGGTTGCTTGCCCCCACCTACCGGAACTCGAACCCGGGCTAGACCGGGCGGTTGGGCTGGTCCCTTCCCTCGCTGTACCTTTACTAGGGGTCACCATTAAGGGAAAGGGCCCTAGCGCGGTGCTGAGTGGCTGTTCAGTAACCGCGACACCGCTGCCAACATTTGGCATCATTAGGGCGGGGCTCTCTGTGAAGCTGGGAGCTGTGTGTTAGGACTAACAGTTTCTCTTTAGGCTTTGAAGAGATCTAAAGATCTGAACAGATCTCGGTTATTATTGTTACCAGTTTCTGGGAACATTGTTTCCAGAACTTTCCTCTCGTTTTCCTCAGGTTTTAAGCCATTAGTGTGCAGATGTGTGCACCTTGCTTACTATAATATTAGCTAATCTTTACAAGCTTTTATATGTATCCAGTCTGATATTTCATGCCCACTCTTCCTGGCACTGTATAAACTTTTTGGTATAGGTATGCATCTAAGCATTATCCATTTTAACATCAGTTCTAGAACTATGGTGTCCAATAATGGTAACCATTAGTTACATAAGGCTTGAGCACTTGCAATCTGGCTAGTCTGAATTGAGATGTGCTGTAAGTGTAAAACACAGTGAATTTGGAGAGTTAGCATGAAAAAATGTAAAATACTTCAATTTGTTCATGTTCACATGTTGAAATGACAGTATTCTGGATATACTGGGTTAAATAAAATGTATAATTTCACCTGTTTTTATTTTTTAACGTGACAACTAGAAAATTTTAAATCACGTTTGTGGTTTGCATGTCATATTTATGTTGCATAACACTAATCTAGAAAAGGGTCAACAAACTAGCCTGCAGCCAAATCCAGCCTACCTGTTTTTGTAAACAAGTCAACTGGAACAAGATCATGCTCATCCATTTATGTTTTTTTCTGTATCTGCTGTTGCTGCTACAAGAGCAGCAGAGTTGATTAGTCCAGAGAGATTATATGGCCTACAAAGCCCAAAATATGTACCTTCTGATCTTTAACATAAAAAATATGCTGACCCCCTGCTCTAGAACAATACCTGGTTTGATATTTTTAAGCCTTTTAGTTGTAGACCCACATCCTATTCACGCTTACTGTGTGACAGGCATAGTTCAAAGCATTTTATCAAGACTTTCATTTAATTCTCATTAATCATAGGATGTTGGCTTTCTCCCATTTTGTAGATCAGGAAATTGAGACACAAAATGGTCAAGAAATTTATCCAACTTGCTTAGCACCCCTCACTTCTGGGAACTGGACCTGCTTGACCTTCCTTATGCAAATATTTTAACCCTTCAGACTCACTTGATTAGCCCACAGTGGGCACCATGGTTTTTTTGTTTTTTTTTTTTTTTATGAACTAGAATTTTTTGAATGATTTTTTTGAACTAGAATTGAGATGGGCTTGGGCTCCTGTGGAAGAGGCAGAGGGGCATTGGGCTTAGGTGCAGTGAGTACAAGCAAGCTGGTGTGTAATGAAAAGAAATGAAGCTCACAGGCAGAGAGGAGAGAGAGCATCCTGAATGCTGCTCATCGCTCATTTAACAACAACAAAAATGTGTTAAGTAATAGTAAGTACTGGCTGGGTGTTTGCTAGATGTGTATAGGTAAATAAAACATGTGGATCTTCTCTTGTGGTCTTGTGGGGAAGGCAGTAAAAATGTTTTTTAAATGTGATAAACACCGTGAAGAAAACAACATGCAAATTATTTACTATTTTGAACATGTTTTCTTACCTGTAAGATGAAAATAAGCTATTATCTGTATTTCAGGAGTATTGTGAGGATTGAGATGACCGGAGTGTGTATGGCCCGGAGAGCTCCTGAATAAATATATGTTGCCTTCGACTGTGAAGAGGTAAGTGAGGGATTGAGTATCAGGAATTGTGTACGTTATGACACTTAAAATATTACAGTTGTCATTTGTAATTTGCAGAGAGGGTTGTCAGCTGCATTGTACACGGTAGGTGTTTTTAATCTTTTCTGACTTAATGGGACTCATCTAGAAAAAGCCAAAGTCAGAGAGTTGTCTGCATTCAGTCCAGGAGCAGGACTAGAGTTGTCTTTGGGGCCGATGGCAGCCTAACTGGGAGGTCCTGCTGGGGTGTGGAGGAGGGTTGTGTGCCTATGAGTGGTTTAAATCAGAGTCACCCTGGAGAGCTGAGCCAATATGCAGGCCCTGTCCTCAGAGATTCTAATTCATCCTCTCTGGAGTGAGGCCCTGCTATTGTTTGTTTTCGTTTTTTGTTGTTTTATTTCCCCAGGTGATTCTAATAAGCATTTGGGGTTGAGAACCACCAATGGTGAGAGATATGCCAGGCTCAGGATGCTGCTTGAGCAAAGGCCCAGAGCTGTGCCCATCAGTGGTTGAGAGTAGTCAAGAGGGAGGCCATCTAGGGTTCTTTTTGCCACCTGGCCGAGGAGCTTGGGCTCCATCCTGAAAGCAAGGGGGAACCTCTGAAGAGCTTTAAGCAGGAAAATGAGGGAATAACTTGCTGAGATCTGTACTAGAGGATGATCACTCTAACAAAGTGCCAGACTAACAGTTGGGCCTTGTGAGGGCCAGAGATAGAATGAAGGCAGTGATGAAGCAAATTGTAACTGTCCAGATGATGGAGAGCCCAGATACGGTTTGGTACCATCCTGTGTGTGTTTCCTCTAGCAGCCAGTGTCTGTCTGTGTTGAAATACCACGTGTGTTGTAACTGGCCAGTTTCTTGTCAGTATTCCTTCTGCTACGCTATCAGCTCCTTCAAGGCAGAGACTGTCTCTTTAGGTTCAGCATCTAGCACATACTCAATCCCTAATATATATTTATTGAATGAACTATGTAGAACTAAGCTGGACATATGCCTTGCTTTGTCTTTTTATGATAATTGTCAGAATTTTAACCCTCCTAGGATAAATTCTTTATGTCTACATTATTGTCCCACAGAGGACTAGAAAGTTTGACTGGATTTAAATGCTGTTAAAAATGTGGAGGGGAATGGAAAACAATATAGTAGATCCTCAAAAAATTAAAAATAGAATTACCATATGATCCAGTAATTCCATTTCTGAATGTATACTCAAAAGAATTGAAAGCAGGGTCTCAGAGGGAGATTGGTATACCAGTGCTCACAGCAGTGTTATTCACAATAGCCAAAAGACAGAAGCAACCCAAGCATCCATCGACATTTAAATGGATAAACAAAATGTATATGCAGACAATGGAATATTATTTAGTCTTAAAAAGGAAGGAAGTTCTGACACACGCAACAACATGGATGAACCTTGAGGACATTATGCTAAGTGAAATAAGCCAGTCACAAAAAGAAATAACTGTATCATTCCACTCATATGAGGTACCTAGAGTAGTCTCATCCATAGAGACGGAAGGTTGAATAGTGATTTCCAGGGGCTGGTGGGAGGGAAGAATGAGGAATTGTTTAAGAGGTGCAGAGTTTCAGTTTCAGAGGATGAAAACACTGCTGGACGTAAGCATCTTGATGTCAGGGACTGTGTCTTTTCAAAAATAATCACTGAACATAAACAGGTTAAGAACACTAAAGTGATTACAGAGGGAATTCTGCAATCTTCCCAGACATCATCTGACAAGTGACATAAAGCATAATGACCTTTAGTAATTCTACTTCTATGAAATAACTTTAAGGAAATGAGAGATGTGGAAACTGCATATGTAAGAATTTTCTTCAAACTTAGGAGAAACTGAAGCCCTCAAATAGGAGAATGGTTAAAAACTATCACATACTCCTAGGATGATCCAATAATATAACCATATAAAAATTTTATTTTTAAAGAATATTTAATGGTGTGGAAAAATAGTCATAAAATTAGGTGAAAAAAAATCAAGATTTAAAGCTATATAAAAGATTGAACAGAGTTATATAATCCAGCAGATCCAAGATAAATGAAAACATATGTCCATGTAAAAACTTGTACACAGGCTGGGCATGGTGGCACATGCCTGTAATCCCAGCACTTTGGGAGGCCGAGGCAGGTGGATCACCTGAGGTTAGGAGTTCGAGACCAGCTTGGCCAACATGATGAAACCCCATCTCTACTAAAAATACAAAAAGTATCTGGGTGTGGTGGCACATGCCTATAATACCAGCTACTCGGGAGTCTGAGGCACAAGAATCACTTGAACCCAGGAGTCAGAGGTTGCAGTGAGCCTCTGTACTCCAGCCTGGGTGACGGAGTGACACTCCATCTAAAAAAAAAAAACCACTTGTACACAAATGTTCATAGCAGTATTATTCATAATAACCAAAAATGGGAAATAATCAAAATGTTCATCAACTGATGAATGGGGAAATAAAATGTGATTCATCCACACAACAGAATATTATTTGGCCATGACAAGAAATGAAGTACTGATAAATGCTACAACATGGATGAACCTTGAAAGCATTATGCTGAGTGGAAGAAGCCAGATACAAAAGACCACATATTGTTGATTTTATTTACATGAAATGTCCAGACAGCAAATCTATAGAGACAGAATAAAGATTATTTGTTGACTTGGTAGAGTGAGACAGAAGGGTAGTGGGGTAAAAGAGGTGGAGTAACTGATAGCATACAGGGTTTTTCTTGCGGGGTGGTGGCACCAATCTTCTAAAGTTGATTTTTTTGTGGTGATGGGTTACACAACTGTGAATATACTAAAAAACACTGAATTGTACACTTCAGGTGAATTGTATGGCATGTGAATTACATCTGAATAAAGGTGTTATTTAAAAATAGAATCTGATCTAAATTTTATTTAAGAATTACTTGGCCGGGCGCGGTGGCTCAAGCCTGTAATCCCAGCACTTTGGGAGGCCGAGGCGGGTGGATCAAGAGGTCAAGAGATCGAGACCATCCTGGTCAACATGGTGAAACCCCGTCTCTACTAAAAATACAAAAAATTAGCTGGGCATGGTGGCACGTGCCTGTAATCCCAGCTACTCAGGAGGCTGAGGCAGGAGAATTGCCTGAACCCAGGAGGCGGAGGCTGCGGTGAGCATGTATTGTTTTCATAATCAGGAAAGTTATTGGTCTAATATGATTTCATGATAAACTGTATACATATATCCCTACTGATAAATGGTATGAGTGACGGATCAATCACCTTCTACCTACTTTCCCTCTGAAATGAGAATATTGTCTCTTAAGAGTGGCTATATCACCTGTGGCTTTGCATTCAGATAAGCATTCATAATTTCCTCAGAAATCGATCACTGCATCTCAAACAGGTGCATCTCTCCTCAAACTTTATCCAAAAATATCAACAGTTAAGTACTTAAATAACTTGGTTATCTAAGAGTTAAATCTTAGATAACCAAGATTTTGAGTCCTGCATTTTTAACCACCAGAGGGAGCTAGACTATAGAAAGCCTCTGGCAGTCATTTTTGTTTTGTTTTAAAGTTAGTTTCACAGAGGGCCATCAATTCAGGATCTTATGTAATTTTCCTACTGTAACCCCATACTTAAAAGATAATTCTTTTTCCCTTTTTAAAATTCCACTTTTAAAGACTGCAAACATTAAAAGAGTTCTTCCTAAGAATCAAAAGCTTAATAAACAAAGAACAGGCAAGACAGCACAGAAAAATAAAAAATATTCACACTCTCTATTGCCGACATTTCTCTCCGAATTGTCTGCTTCAGATCTTGAAGTCACTCAGTTGTGTCACAGTGATAAAGTTTCAAGCTGTTCAATATACTTGAGCCCTTCCCTACTTGTTGAAAAGTTTCTTAACAAAGAAGAAACATTCAATGTGCTTGCATTCTGTATGCATTACTACTGAGGAAATCAGGATGGAGGTTTGCTAGGCATTGAGAAAGATCGTTAATAAGAGTTGGGCCTACAGTGCCCGAAAGGAAGTTAAGCAATATTTGACTGAGGTCAGAATTTCTCAACTGAAGGTCTGAGTTTCAGGGTGATTCTGGAAGGGAATTGTGTCTTCGGGGTTTCAGTGGGGGTAACAGCAGCAATTGGTCTTACCAGCAAAACAAGTAAATCTATAGATGTTAATGTGTTTATGTATAAACAACCAAAAAGCCCTTAATTTTATATGTTCTATGTTCTTTTATTCATCTCTTCATATTTATCTAAAAATTTTTATTTGTGATAAAATATACAAAACATAAAATTTACTGTCTTAAGCCTTTCTTTTTTTTTGAGATGTCTCATTCTGTCGCCAGGCTGGAGTGCAGTGGAGTGATCTCGGCTCACTCACTGCAGCCTCCACCTCCTGGCTTCAAGAGATTCTCCTGCCTCAGCCTCCTGAGTAGCTAGGACTACAGGTGCATGCCACCGTGCCCAGCTTATTTTGTATTTTTAGTAGAGATGGGGTTTCACCATGTTGACCAGGATGGTCTTGATCTCTTAACCTCTTGATTAGCCTTCCTCAGCCTCCCAAAGTGCCGGGATTATAGGCATGAGCCACTGCACCTGGCCTGTCCTAAGCCTTTTTAAGTGTGCAGTTCAGTAGTGTTAAGTACATTTATCATTCCAGAGGCAAGGTGGGTAGAAGGTGATTGAGCCATCACTCATACCATTTTTCAGTAGGGATATCTTTAAATATATACAGTTTATCATGAAATCATATTAAATCAATAACTTTTCTGGTTATGAAAACAGTACATGCTCATCACAGAAAATACAGAAAAGGGTAAAAGAACAAATGAAAATTACCTAAAATCTTACCATTCAGAAAATGCCCCTCTTAAAAATTTTGTGTACCTCTTCAGTCTTTTCACATGTAATTCCTAAATAAAATTTGGATCAGATTCTATTTTTAAATAACACCTTTATTCAGATGTAATTCACATGCCATACAATTCACCTGAAGTGTACAATTCAGTGTTTTTTAGTATATTCACAGTTGTGTAACCCATCACCACACATAAGTCAACTTTAGAAAATTTATTTGTACCAGCATCCCCACAAGAAAAACCCTGTATTTTATTATCTGTTCCACCTTCTTCACCCCACTGCCCTTCTGTCCCATTCCACCAAGTCAACAACTAATCTTTTTTCTGTCTCTATAGATTTGCCTGTTCTGGACATTTCATGTAAATAAAATCATACATATATGGTCTACTTCTGCTCAGCATAATATTTTCAAGGTTAATCCATGTTGTAACCTGTATCAATACTTCATTCCTTTCCATGGCACAATAATATTCTGTTGTGTGGATGAGTCACATTTTATTTATCCATTCATCAGTTGATGGACATTTCGATTATTTCCCACTGCAGCTATTATAATATTGCTATGAACATTGATGTAGAAGTTTTTGTGTGGACATATGTTTTCATTTCTCTTGATTCTGCTGGGTCATATGATAACTGTAGTTTCATTATGTAGTTTCACATCTTGATTTTTTTCACCTAACTTTATGACTGTTTTTCTCTGTCATTAGATATTAACTAAATACATGATTTTTAAATGGTTATATTATTGTATCATCCTGGGAGTATGCCATATTTTTAACCATTCTCCTGTTTGAGGGCCTTCCAATTTCTCCTAAGTTAGAAGCAAATTCTTACATATTCAGTCTCCACGTCTCTCATTTTCTTAAATTTATGGAAGTAGGATTACTAAAAGGTCATTGTGTTTTATGTCACTTGTCAGATGGTAACTCGGAAGATTGTGTGAATTCTCTCTGTAATCACTTCAGTGTTCTTAGCCTGTGTATGTTCAGTGGTGATTATTTAGTATCAAGTGCTATAAAACAGAGCCCACAGATTTTTGAAAAGACACAGTCCCTGCTGTCAAGGTGCGTATGTTTACCTTTAAACCAGACAGATAAATATAAATCCAAGGGCATTATATAGACAAGATTATGTACATTATGTGGAGGGAAAAAATAGACTGCTTAGATAAAGTAAACGTTTCCCTGCCTAGGATAAGATTCACACAGACATAATCATTGAGCAACTTTTTACACTTAAAAGTTTTTCTTAAATTAACAAAACCAAAATGTAGGAACCAGTAAGTCTAAAGTCATAAATCACCTGGATCCTTGAGTATGAACCTTTCCCTTGTTCAGAAGACTCCTAAGGCAGCACAGTGTAGCCTGTTGGCTTTTGGGACCTGCAGACCTAGCTCTGGCTGCTTTTCAACCTGTGCTATCTCACAGTTTCTTAGATTGCTTGAGACATTAGCAAACCTTTTCTGTCCTGTTTCTTACTCTTTTATATTCAGAAGAATGCCACTTTAAAGATTATGAAATGAGCAAGTAGTTCAGTTATGTAGCTGACTCTGGGGGAAAAACAGTCTAGCACTGTTCAGCGTTGCCATATTGATGCTGACACTGGCATGATTTCATCTCCAGCATGACCACCAGATTCCACCCAAATGGAATGACTAATCTAGAAAGATCATTGATTTGTAAAATTGGAGGTGGAAAAGCTATGGCAGATCCTCCAGCAAGCCTCTTAAGCAGATGTTATATAGACGCTTTGCAATACTGTTTTTTTTTTTGTTTGTTTTTTAACTAGTAGGAATTAAACTCTTGAAAGTAAACCATACCACATTAAAGGTTCCATTTTCTAGCATGTCGCATACATTTGTATTACATGACTCCTTCAGCAAACATTGCCTAGGTAACTGACAGAAAGTGCTATTTTAATATCCAGAAGCTGTAGCTAGCAAAGACAAACTTAAGAAAACTGAAACCCCTTTTTTGCTTTGCAGTTTTAAAGATGTCTGACAAGAAGCAGATAGGTGCCAGAGCTTCCCTTATTGAGCAGCTGATGTCTAAAAGGAATTTTGAGGATCTTGGCAACCACCTTACTGAGCTAGAAACAATTTATGTGACTAAGGAGCATCTCCAGGAGACAGATGTGGTCAGAGTTGTGTACAGAGTCCTCAAAAACTGCCCCTCTGTGGCTTTGAAAAAGAAAGCCAAGTGTTTGCTTTCGAAGTGGAAAGCTATTTATAAAGAGACTCACTTCAAAGCAAGGGACAGCCCTAAATTACTTCCTGTGAGGGGTAATAAAGAAGAAAATTCAGGACTTTCTCATGACCCAAGTCATGATGAGACACTGGGCATCTGCAGCTCAAATTCTCTATCTTCCCAAGATGTTGCAAAACCCAGTGAAATGATTGTGCCTGAAAATGGAGCCATTCAGTTGAAACCTACGGAAGAGCATTTTGAGGATGGTGACCCTGAATCCACTGGGAAGAGATCAAGTGAGTTGCTGGATCCAACACCCATGAGAACTAAATGCATAGAGCTTCTTTACTCAGCTTTAACTACTTCTTCCACAGATCAACCCAAAGCCGATTTGTGGCAAAACTTTGCAAGAGAAATTGAAGAGCATGTTTTTGCCCTTTATTCAAAGAACATCAAAAAATATAAAACTTGCATCAGAAGCAAAGTTGCCAATTTGAAGAACCCCAAAAATTCTCACTTAAAACAAAACTTGTTCTCTGGGACCATGTCTCCACAAGAATTTGCTGAAATGACTGTCATGGAGATGGCCAACAAGGAACTGAAGCAGTTGAGAGCCTCCTACACAGAATCTTGTATCCAGGAACATTACCTTCCCCAAGTGATTGATGGCACACAGACAAATAAAATAAAATGCAGACGCTGTGAGAAATACAATTGCAAAGTCACTGCAATTGCCAGAGGAGCACTTTTCCTTCCCACTTGGGTGCGGAATTCAAATGCAGATGAACAAATGATGACTTATGTAATTTGCAATGAATGTGGGGAGCAGTGGTACCATAGCAGCTGGGTGTGCTTGTAACTGTAAATCAATGTTCTCTTAATAAATAACCCCAGCGATACCTTTTGTTTGTACAACCCTCTTGTGCTTTTAAAAAATCTTATACACACTACTCTGTAAAACAGAAGGAGGAGGAAAGAAAGTCATTAGCTGAAGCTCACATCACCATCCCTAAAAGTCACACTTTGGGGAGAGGGAGTAGATGACTATTTATATTGTGCCTTATGGCCATTTAGTATCTTACCGTCCTCAGAGTATGGTTGAGAGCAGCTCAGCATAAACTGGGAGCCTGTGGAAAATGCATTCCCAGGCCCCACACTATTGAATCCGAATCTGCATTTTGGCAGGATCCCTAGGTAACTTTCTAGGACAGGATAGTTGGAGAAGTGCTGCTTTAGTAACAGGCTTGTGGCTTTCAGCAGTGGCTGCATATTAAAATCATCTGGGAAGCTTTGAAAACCCACTGGTGCTGAGAACCCACCCAAGAGCAATTCAGTTGGAACCTATGAGATAGGACCCAGGCATCAACATTTCTTTTATAATTCCTCAAGTTATTTTAAGATGCAGTCAGAGTTAAGAACTACTGCAAAATAGGCTCTCATTTGATCCTTTTTACAGCTCTAAGATGAGTGTTAATTCCAGGCACCTCACAAATGAGGAAACAGGTCCACAGAGGTGCAGTGACTTGCCCAGTGACACAACCATAAATAGTCCAATTCAGATAGATCCCAGATTTTCTTCCTCAAGACTCACTGAGACTGGCTCAATATTGACTTCTGAGAAATGTATTCCTGGAGGTCGGGGACGAAATGACTAACATTGGCTGACTAGATCTTCATTCTTTTTTTTTTTAAGGATTTAAGAGATTTAATGGAAAATTCCTTATAAACAAACAAAAAGTCTTAAAAAATACATCTGCATATCTCTCACAATTACCCTTTGTGATCAAACGAGTTACATTTTTTCTATATTCACATCTATAATTTTTAAAAATCCAGTTTGTTAATGATTTTTGAAAAGTTTATCAAGAATATCATCTTTTCTAGTCAGAGTAACAGATTAATCAAGATGTCTCTCGTTTCTTTGTACATCTTCATTCTTTTCCCCCTGTCTTTTCTCATTTACAGGTCTCCCTTCAACCACAAAAGTCACCCCGAGGCTGGGCACAGTGGCTCACGCCTGTAATCCCAGCACTTTGGGAAGCCAAGGCAGGTGGATCACAAGGTCAGGATTTTGAGACTAGCCTGGCCAATATGGTGAAACCTTGTCTCTACTAAAAATACAAAAATTAGCCAAGTGTGGTGATGCATGTCCATAATCCCAGCTACTTAGGAGGCTGAGGCAAGGCTAATTGCTTGAACCTGGGAGGCAGAGGTTGCAGTAGCCGAGATCATGCCTGGGCAACAAGAGCAAAACTCTGTCTCAAAAAAAAAAAAAAAAAAGTCACCCCGGAACTCATCACACGTCATGTTGTCAAGGACAAGTGTCCTTGAGATGGACATTAATGGTTATTAATCTGTCAGAGGCAGTCCATCGCCTTAGCCTTTGAATGTAGTAACAGACATTTATCTAATAAATGAATTGAAGAGGAAATTACTTGAGGCCTTTGCAAATAGTGTTTAACCAGTTTATATAATTATTCGAATACAGCAAGCCCTCTATGTGATTATGGCTGATTTTTTTCCTTAAAAAAAAGTCATAGAATGTTCATCGTTTTATAGTTTTAGAAAGTTTACTTTGGCAGTCTCTACAAACCTACACATTTTCGCTTTTTCACCAGTTCTTTTCTCAAGTATATTAACTTCCTTTGTTGGAGCTCTGAAGGCCTAACTGCATGTATACTTTACCTGCCTGAGAAAATTCTCCAAAATGTGCATAAAACTAAACTACATTTCTATTTGCAAATGATTTGAAAGAGTCGGCTCAATGCCATCAAGTGTGAAATCTATTTTGATACACTTTCTCCCTGTGTCTTCCCTGGGCTGCTTTTTGTGATGCAACATATTTAGTTCTTAACTTGCAAGGTCATCTAGCACTTAAAGTTTCACAAAGTGTGGTTTCATATGACTTGGAATAATCTGAAAAAGTATTCAGTGGTTATAAAAGAGAACAGCACATAAGAACCAAATTTGATTAGTTCAAGTCAGCGTTTGTGTTTTGCTTTTGGAGTTTGTGTGTATGTGTGTAGTTTTTATTTATATTGGAATTTGGTAAACTAAATGTTCAGACAAATAGAAGTACTTGAAATGGAAATTTCCTTACTCTCCAAGATAGAAAAATCTGCATGGTCTTCCTCATTTCATCTGTATTAGTAAGTTTTGCAACTCAAGGTAGGAAAGTAGGAATCTGTGTGTTTTTCTTTTGGTGAATGAGACAGCATTACTTTTTCTGCCTATAGATAATTCTTTCACATCCTATGTCCTTTCCCCTAAGAAAAGGATTTTCTTCAAAATTGACTACAGGGTAAAGATTTGGGTTTTTAAAAAAAATTTTTTAGACAGGTTCTCTGTCACCCAGGCTGGAGTGAATGGCACCGTCTCAGCTCACTGCAGCTTCAACCTCCTGGGCTCATGTGACTTTTTTTTAAATTTTGGTTTTTATAAACAATTTTTAGACAGGTTCTCTGTCACCCAGGCTGGAGTGAATGGCACCGTCTCAGCTCACTGCAGCCTCAACCTCCTGGGCTCAAGTGATCCTCCAACCTCAGCATCCCCACTCTCTTGAGTAGCTGGGACTGCAGGCACATGCCACCACACCCAGCTAATTTTTGCATTTTTTGTAGAGACAGGATTTTGCCATGTTACCAGGCTGGTCTCAAACTCCTGGGCTCGAGCCATCCTCCCAAAGTGCTCAGCCTCCCAAAGTGCTGGGATTACAGGCATGAGTTACTGTGCCTGGCCAAGACTCTTTAATTTAAAATCACTTTTACAGAAACAACAAATGGAAGGCCCTGGCACAGGAAAGTGCCTGATACAGTCAAGTTCCAGCAAGAGTCCACGGCAGCTAAGTCACAGTGAGCTAGGGGAACAAGGATGAGAGATGCAGTCAAAGAGGCCATCATGAGGGCTCTTATTGGCCATGGTAAGGATTTGGGGGCGGGGAGTGGTTCTTAAAGCATGAAGGGAAACCACTGAAGCTGGGGAGTTTGTGGTGATGTAATTTGAACACCCTTTAGGAAGGATCACTCTGGCTGTTATGTTGAATTAGACAGGGAAGGAAGCAAGGATGCATGCAGGGAAAACAGGTGACCGTTGCAGTGGCGCAAATACCACATAACTAGCTTCAAGCAAGAGTACACAGAGACTGGGATCCCTGAATCCTTATAGCAAGCGAAGTCCTTGACAACTTTGCAAATGGATGTTTCATAAAATACACTAAATCCCAAATTCCCTGCCCGTGGCCCATAAATAAACAATAATATATAGTGTGGAAACTCACACTGGACAAGTATCTCCTATACCCTGGTTGCCATGGTTACTGGGAGTCCCTGCTTAAGGCATAAACACCAGTTGTCATACCTGAATGTAGGAGCGCTCTCTTGACTCTTGATGGGTTTTCCCACATCACTCGCCTTTGTCTGTGTTACTTTTTTGAGATAAAAAGTTGGATACAATTGCAGCTCTGTCTCTTCCCTAAGCACTTCCTGTGATGAGAGGCTCCTTTCATTCGCCACTACCATTTCTAAATACCAGTCAGGAAGCCTGCAGCTGGCAGTGCCCCACTGCTCTGGCAAGGGCTGGCCCTTCATCTTCTGGGTCAGATTGCTTTGTTATTTATAACTTCCCAGTAAATGTGAAATATTTTACTAGTTATTTTTGTATCTCTCAGAGATACTTACTGTAAGTACCTAGATGATAGAAGGCATCTTCTTGCTTTCAGAAGAGCCCCACAATCAGAAGGGAGACCAGATGACAATTCCATATAGTCCCATTTACATTATTACTTAAAACTGGGATTTCCAGCCAGAAGTGGTGGCTCACAACTGTAATCCCAACACTTTGGGGGTCCAAGGCGGGAGGACCGCTTGAACTGAGGAGTTGGAGACCAGTCTGAACTCCGTCTTTACAAAAAATATAAAAATTAAGCCAGGCATGGTGGTGTGCACCTGTAGTCTCAGCTACCCAGGAGGCTGAGGTGGAAGGATCACTTGAGCCCAGGAGGTCAAGGCTGCAGTGAGCCATGATGGTGCCACTGCACTCCAGCCTGGGTGACAGAAACAGACCCCATCTAAAAAAAAAATAGGTTTCCACAAATGTTACCATGCATCGTCAGAAATGCTCTGTGTTCATGATTGTACATTGCTTTGCATTTTACTAGGTGCTGGGGGCAAAGAGATAATTAAGACACCATCCCAAGCCTCAAGCCCCACAAAACGCAGGGGAAGCGCCATGCTATGTAGCCAGCAATCATTTTACCTTTTAAGAGCTCTGAGGGAGACACCCACTGGAAAAGGGTGCAGAGGACCCCAGAGGATCAACCAACCCAGTGTGGGAGGGTCAGGGAAAGCTTCATAGAGGCCATGACCCTTAGGACAAATCTTGAGGGGAAGATTCCTCTGAGGCAGAGGAAATGGGAAAGTCTGTTCCAGCACCATATTTGCTAGATTCTTGGCATTTTTTGTACAGCATCTCCTTTAATCTTCACAACTACCCTGCCACACAGCATTTTAGAGGTGAAGAAACTGAGGCTGAGAGAGATTAAGTTACTTGCCCAAGGGTACACCGAGACAAAGCCAGGACTAAGTCATAACAAGGGGAATAGGTTTTGTTTGTTTGTTTTGTATGTCAGATTGCTTCTAGAAATAACAGCAGGCTTCCCAGTAATTCCAGGCAGGTGCTGCTATTTTATAATTGTGGTTTGTTCTTTCAATGACAGGAGCATGTGATATATGGATCCCACCTTAGCCCAGTACTGTGCACTCCTCCTGATGATGGAGAGATTGGGAGGGACCACCTGGCTAGGATTGCTGGCTCTCCTGATACCTTCTTGTGGCATCCATGTGGTTTATCCAGTTTTCTGAAAAGTGAGTAATTTTCAAAATACTGAAATTTG